GATATATGTGAACTGCAGTGAGAGGAGGTCTAAGGAGTGATAGTGGGGCAATGGAAGGATGGTTCACCTGTGAGTTAAATAACTGAGAAATATTGAGAGGTGTCGTCATTTTGTAGAAGAGAGTTTGCAGCACTAGACAGCTTTCTGCTATTTCAAAAGGGTAGAAAAAATTATCAGTTTAATGCTAAAGACCATCTTGAGTTTCAAAGAATAAATGGAATTACCCAAGGCACAATGGAAGAAACTATTTATGAGTACCTAGGAATCCTCGGAAACCCTGTGCAGGGTCGCTATTAGTTGGAACTGACTCCACGGTACTTAACAACAACAACAACAAGGAATGCCATGAGTGGAGTCCTGGTGTGGCATTGTGGGTTAGTGCACCAGACTGTAAAGCCATTTGAACTGCAAGGTCGGAGGTTCAAGCTCACCAGCTGCTCCTCAGAAACCCTATACAGTGTTACTATGGGTTGGAACCAGCTCGACGGTACTTAACAACAACAGGAATGGAGTGAATAAGAAAAAAAACTGTAAAGAGTACGGAAATAGATTTTTTTTTATCTATTTACTGAAAATGTTTTAGAAAATGCTAACAACTGTGAAGTTCTGGTGTGGTGCTATGGGTTAATGCACTGGACTGCAAAGTTGGTTTGAACTGCAAGGTCGGTGGTTCAAGCTCACTAACTGCTCCTTGGAGTTACTATAGGTAGGAACTGATTCAATGGTACTTAACAACAACAACAGTGTAGATACTAAACTAGGATCTAAGCCCTAGAAATAAATAGTTGTAGATAGGCAATTTTTGTATAATGTTCTAAATATAGCAAAGAACATAAGGACTTAGAAGGTGGCCATGGAAAAATAAGGGAATTGGTAGAGTCAGGAAAAAAAAAAAAAAGCCAAACTAGATAGATTAATCTCTCCCATAGTTTAAAGCAGCTTAAAAGGCATTGGTCTTTTTAAGTGACAATAAAAACAGGAGTCAGCAAAAGACTACTGGGATTTTTCCCTTCAGGAGACGAAAAAAGACATGTATGCTTTTTTTATTTTTTTTTTCCCCTCATCTCCCTTGCTCTGGATCCATCACTATAAACAACTCCAGAACATGCACAAAAGAGTCTGTCCATAGAGAAACAATTTTCCTAAATTAAAACAGCTGCAACAACAAATTCACTGCTGTTGAGCCAATTCAGATTCATAATGATCCTATATACGGTTTACAAGGCTGTACATCTTTATGGGAGCAGAAAGCTTTATATTTCAGCGTCGTTTGTGGCTTTGAACTGCCTATCCTGTGATTAGCAATTCAGTACTTATCCATCAGGACTCCGGTGTTAAAAAATAAGGAAAGTTCTTATCACCAGCCCCATTAGATACTCATTCTTTCTACTCACTCTCTATTTGTGCCACATAATTCTAATAAAGAAGAAACAAGGGAAAGCAGTTCAAGTGCATCATTTAAATAATTAACTGCAACAAAACAAACCACCTAACTTTATCAAGTGTTTATTATATGCCTGGCACTGTACTGAACTCTTCACTTGCATTAACTCAATTCATCATTATCTTGAACCTTGCAGTTCAAATGACTTTGCAGTCTGGTGCATTTACCACAACCACTAAGAGGGATATTTTTTCCCCCAACAAAATTGATTGAATTGGTTGTTTGGTTTGATTTTGTATAACACAATCTTCCAAAAGAATTAACTTTAATTAATTCAATTCTTATCAATGTTTTAAATATGCAAGGCACTCCCAAGGTCCACACCAGCCCAAACAAGACACACTGATGTTGAGTCCCTTCTGAATGGTAGTGAGCCTCTAGGACAGAGTAGAACGACCCCATAGGATTTCCAAGGCTACAAATCTCACAGATGCAAATGTCACATCTTTCTCCCATGGAGCCACTGTTGGGTTTGAACAGTCAGCTTTCAGTTAGCTATTTCTTGCTACTTCTAGTTAACCACTGTGCCACCAGGACCCCTTCAAGTCCTCACAGACATGTAAATAAAGCTTTAGGGATACCACATATTGTTGTTGTAAAGTGCCACCGAGTCGATTTCGATCCATCGCCACCCTGTATAGGGTTTCCAAGGAGCAGCTGGTGAGCTTGAACCATCAACCTTGCAGTTCAAATGACTTTGCAGTCTGGTGCATTTACCCACAGCACCATACCAGGACTCCTAGTAGTAGTTTACTCAGCACAAAACATGTTGCATTGCACTGGCTGCAAAATATACCATTTCCTTCATGTATGAGAGCACTAAATGACATTGAAAGTTTGAAAACAAATTTTCTCTAGGAGTGTCTGTCAGAAAAATACAGGACATTTCTTCTTTTTGTGAGGAATTATAGTCTTACATATTTTCTTGTTACTTTCACATGTAAGTAAAATTTATTTTAGTCATTCTTATGGTTAAATATGGAGTCCTGGTGTGGTGCTGCAGGTTAATGCTCTGGACTGCAAAGTCTGTTTGAACCATAAGGTCAGTGGTTCAAGCTCACCGGCCATTCCTCAGAAACCCTATACAGGGTCGCTATGGGTCAGAGCCTACATGACAGCACTTAACAACAACAACAACATGGTTAAACATACATACTTAATTTTCACCCGTTTATTATATATTTTTCACATATTTTTAGGAATGGTGACCAACTGAAAGAAGAAATCCAATACATGTATTTAAATGCAAATGTATCAATACTTTTTCAGTATGCAGTTAAGTGGATAGACATTGGGAACTAACTGATCATTAAAAATGCATCATGTAACATTCTTAAGCACTTGGTTGCATTGTGAAAAAACATTACAGCAATTTTTATTTCACATTTTATTAAATAGACTATTCTGCACTGTAATATTTTATACAGTTATTGCCATAGAGTTCCAAAGCCCCAATCAGGTAAGGGTCATGACTATTCTATAATTACCATCTGTTTAGCTTTGTTAGTGTTTCTCATTATAACTCAGAAGGTCAATGATACTTTTCTGGATAGGAACTCAGCAAGACCAGAAGTAATAAAACAGTTCAGGCTAAGCAAGGTTCTGCTACTCCAACCCATGGACAGTTAATTAACCTGAATATAAAACTGTGAGCGCACTGGGAGACATAGAGAAGTTTGCAATATGGTAGATGCCCAAGTACAATCTTATTTGGTGGGTTTTCAACTATATTGTTTAATTAGAAGATATGCATATAAACTGTGGCAAAGAAAGATAAAATTTTGAAATAACGTGACGTTGTTTTTGAAAAAAAAATTTTCACAGATTATTTGGATGATTGCTCTGAATATAAATGAGTGGATCTGTGTTTCTTATCTTTGGCAGCAAATTTGAATCACCTGAGAACTTTATAAAGTGTCAAATATCTGGCTCCATCTCAGACTAATTAAGTCTGAATTTTTGGAGGATGGTATGCAAATATGGGTACATTTTTGTTCCGTGCTGCTAGCCTGCTAACAAGGTTGAGAACTGCTATTACAGGAGTAGGATTGTAGCGCATACAGCGGAGGCAACATACTACTATTAACATTCAAATGTAACCCTGGCCAATATGGATACATTTGGGAATAACTAGATTTTCTTTAGCTTTAATTCGGATTGCGTACATAGAAAGATTGGTGTAGTTCATGCATTAATTATTGTCTTTATTGACTTAATCACTTTAAAACTTAACATTTTTGAGCTCCTATATAGTGGTTACGAATCGGGCTATGAACCGCACGGTCAGCAGTTCGAAACTACCAGCTGTTCTGCGGGAGAAAGATGAGGTTTATCTGCTCCCGTAAAGATTTACAGCCTTGGAAACCCTGTACAGGGTCGCTATGGGTCGGAACTGACTCCACGGCACATAACAACAACAACATAGAAGAATTTCAGTTGTAAGAACCCAAAGACATTTACTCCTAGGAGAAAATTATTTTAGAATGCATGCCAAACGTCTTTCAAATTGCTGAATAGCATAGGGGATGTCTGTTTTATAGGGCTATGTGATTAATCTCTTAAGTAGGTAAAGAAAAAAAAGAAAGAAAGAAAGAAATTTGATATAATGCTATTATCTTAAGAATATAAATTCACATTACAATGACTAATAATTACGTAATACAGGAGTCCTGGTGTGACGTTGTGGGTTAATGCGCCTGACTGCAAAGCCATTTGAACTGCTTGGTCGGTGGTTCAAGCTCACCAGCTTCTCCTCGGAAACCCTATATAGGGTCGCTATGGGTTGTAATCGACTCGATGGCATTTAACAACAACAACAATAAAATATTACAACTGATAGGTTCATGATCAGTTCATTACTTTAAGGACAGGGCTAAAGACACTAACTTATCTATCAGGGTCACTGTGAATTGGAACCGACTTGACATTTAACAACAGCATGCCTTTCAGAAGGAATGTAGAAATCTCAATCTTAAATGACCAGAGTTCCTTCTATTTATCATTTATATTTGATTACTTCAAAGAGCAATATCTGTCGTTATTTAGTGCCATTGAGTTAGTTCCTACTCAAAGGGTTTCCAGGAGCGGTTGGTGAGTTTGAACCTGGCTGTTCAAACCACCTTGCAATCCAGCGCAGCATCTCGGAGAGTCACACCAAGACTCCATAAGGAATGTATAGGTTCATCTAAGTTTAGTTCTATGGAAAATATGAAATAAAATGCTGTTTATCATTTTAAAACTTCTTACACCTTGACTTTAAGGAGCTCTGGTAGCATAGTGGTTACGAATCGGGCTGTAGGCATTTCAAAACTGCCAGATGTTCCGCGGGAGAAAGATGAGGCTTTCTGCTCCTATAAACCTTGTGCAGGGTCACTATGAGTCGGAACCGACGCCACGATACTTAACAACACCACCTTGATTTTAATTTTCCAGTGTGAGATTTTTTTTAGTATTTTATTTATTAATTTAAAATGTCTCAAGAATATTTGCTATAGTCTCATTAAACTCCACACATTGTTTTCAAAAGATATTCTTTTCTTTTTGTTTTTTCAACTAGGACCCCTACTATGGCTGGTGGCTTATTTTCTATTGACAGAAACTACTTTGAAGAGATAGGAACTTACGATGCAGGAATGGATATCTGGGGTGGAGAGAATCTTGAAATGTCTTTTAGGGTAATTGCATTTTACTTTATTTTTTGACACTGAACATACTATGCACATATCAGACTCAGTAATTTACTGTCAAATCTTTTTTCATGAAGTGATGCAAATTACTAAACTGATCATTTTAATACATATTTACAAGTTTTGCTAGAGTCTTAACTGCATGCAATATTTACTGTTAAATGGGAAATTACAGGTCTTTTTAAAGTTAAAAAATCATTTTATTCTTATTAAAAATACATCAGGGCATTTCGTTTTTGAAATCAAGAAGGACTTTATATTTTAAATACGGCAATACCCTACTAAAGAACTTTATGTTTTTAAACTGAAACTTGAAAGTGTTCATGTGTGCTGAATTTGATAAGACTATTGATTACTTATTCAAATAACTTTAAGTGACCTGTGGATAAAATAACTCTGAATAGTATTTTAAGTAACACGAATGATTTTAAATTATGCAAATTCATTCATTAATGAACTTCCTCGTAAAAGAAAGTTGGGGCTCAGTCCCTGGAGAATATGATACTAGAAAGCATACAAATAGTATTACTATCTTAGTCTATTTAACATTTTAAATTATGGACATGCAAATGTGCTCCTATGCTAACATGTGGAAATGTATTGACATACTCTGATTTTCCTTCTCCAAGTCATGTATATTCATCATTTCAGTCATCAGTTATGTTAATAATACTGATGCTTTTCCTTCTTATAATTTAATCTAACGTTTTTAAACATTCTATAATTTTGCCCAAATTATTTGAATAATAAAATTATTAGAATTTAGATATTTTATATATTCATTTCAAGTTATGCCTATTAATTTTTCATTTAGAAAGCAAAGACATTTTAAGTTAACATAATAAAATGTATGTGGTTCTATGTAAGAAAATGTCAAAAATGGGATATATTTACTTTGAATTTCTATAATCTTAATTATTTTAGAAGGATTAGCATGACCTTGACCTTTTGGTTACAAACTCCCTTATGGTTGAATGTATGGAGAAGCACTGTGGCTCTGTTGGATAAGCACTGTACTGCTAGCCACCAGGTCAGTGGTTTGAGCCCACCAGTCAGGAAGGTAAGGAAGATGAGGATTTCTGCTTCTGTAAAGATTTACTGCTTTGGAAACTGTACAGGGTCACTATGAGTCACAACAGATTTAAAAACAAATGCCCAATTGTCTGAGAACATCATAATTCAGTGGACTTTTATTATTCTCACATTTACTATGTACGTATAGTCTGATGGAGCTTGCCCCAAAAGACATAGTACTGTATTGATTAATGTCTTGTAATGCGACCTATAATACGTCTTTGCTCAGCCAATGGAGAAATTTATGTAGCCAAACTTGTTGCTCAGTGTAGTTCTCAATGTGAAGAAAATCACTGATTTTTTTTAAAATAAGTTAATTTATCAGTCTACTACTCACAAACATCAAGCTGATTCCAACTCTTAGTGACTCTATATGACTGAGTATAATTGCTTCTTAGGATTTCCAAGAGTATACATCTTTACAGGAGCAGACAGGAAGAAGCTGGTTGGTTTGAATTGCTGACCTTCTGGTCAGCAATCCAAAGCTTAAACTCATTTGCCACCAGAGGCCCTTAGCTTATCAAAAATGTATAAATAAATAACTCTTGCTATTTTTTGCAATGATCAGACCATTATTTACTCATTCATTAACCAATATTTCTTGGGTGCTGTGCTGGGGTTACTTACAAAGGAACAAAAGCAACATAGCAATGTTACTTTTATCTATAATCCCATTCCCTACCTTTTTCATTTCTTTCCTAAAATGATGCACCTTTTTTCTTCTCACCTGGGAAGGTTGTGGAATACTTTGATAAAACATGACATCTTCAGGAAAAGTAATATGCATACCAATGAATAAAAATATATAAGAAGATCGTAGTTCATGTCAATATCACGTAGACAGAGAGAGCAAAACTGATAGCTCTGACTATGAGCAGATTCCTAAAATACTACTCAGGTTTCCTATGGTTGACTGTTCAAGATCATTAAGAAATAAAATATACTCTAGTGGGTATTTTTCAAGTATTTTAAACATATAAATGCCAAGAAAATTGGAAGACAGCTACCTGGCCAATCAACTGAAAGAAGTCCTTTTTGTACCCATTCCAAAGAAGGGTAACACAACAGAATACCCAAATCATTGATATCACATACAAATTAATTTTGTTCAAAATAATTCAAAAAGAGTTGCAGCAGTACATTGGCAGGGAATTGCCAGAAATTTAAGCCGGATTTCAGATGAGGACGTGAAATGAGGACTATCATTGCTGATGTTGGATGGATGTTGGTTAAAAGCATAGAAAACCAGAAAGATGGTTACTTGTTCTTTATTGACTATGCAGAGACATTTGACTGTGTGGATCACTGCAAACTATGGATAACATTATGAAGAACTGTTATTCCAGATGCTTATTTGTACTTATGATGAACCTGTACACAGACCAAGAGGCAGTCCTTAGCACAGAACAAGGGGAAATTCAATGGTTTAAAGTTTGTTACAAAATCACGAAAGGTGTGCGCCACAGTTGTATCATTTCACTATATTTATTCAGTCTGAATGTTGAACATACAATATGAAAACTGGAGTATAGGAAGAGGAATATGGAATCAAGACTGGAGAGTGACTCATTAACAACCACTGATATGCAGATGATTCAACCTTGCTTGCTATAAGTGAAGAGGCCTGGAGTTACTTACTGATCAAAGACTACTGTTTCAGTATGAATTGCACCTCAGTGTAAAGAAAACAAAACTCCTTACAAGTGGACCAATATATAGCATCATGATCAATGAAGAAAAGATTGAAGTTGTCAGAGACTTCATTTTGCCTGGATTCACAACACTCATGGAAGCAGCAGTCAGAAAATAAGATAATGGATTATAGAAGGCCAATCTGCTTCAAAAGACCCCTTAAGGGGTTAAAGAGCAAAGATATCAGTGTGAGAACTAAGGTGTGCCTGATCCAAGCCATGGCATTTTCAATAGCCTTATATGTATGTGAAATTGTGCAATGAATAAAGAAGACTGTAGATGCATTTGAAATTTGATGTTGGAGAAGACTATTAAAAGTACCATGGACTGCCAGAAGACCTTGAGGTTAGCAGCCTGACTTGTAACCACTATGCTACAAGCCCAGTTTGTTTGAATTATTCCTATTGATCTGATTTTAACAATCTACCTCTCAGGATTTCTATGTGGATTAGATGTAATAATATTTATTATTTTTTATAAACTATTGTATTATGGAAAGATTACTTTTCCTATTATTGATATTGGAGTCCTGGTGTGGCACCATAGGATAAATAGTCAACATCAAGGTTGGTTTGAATCACAAGGCCAGTGGTTCAAACTCACCAGTCACAACTCGAAAACCCTGTACAGGGTTGCAATGGATTAAAACCAACCTGATAGCACTTAATAACAACAATTGTTACTATTACAGTTATAAGTTATTTAAACAATAACCAATATTTTAACTAAGGACATGTATTTTAAACATCCCAATTTTATTTTTCTTCTAATAACAATGAAAATAGGCTAGAAGAAGCAAGAAATAGCTAACATCATTGTCTTTTACTAATCTTAGGGCAAAGCAATGAGTTTTGTAACAAATATTTGGTATACTTTTTTTTTGCAGAGATATTTAAATGAAATGTCTTCTGGTGTGAAATCCATTTCCCCCCCTAAATTTCTCAAGCAATGAAGTAGGGGAAAAAGGAGAGATGACATAATAAGGAATGGAAAGATAAAAGGCAGGGACTCCCATAGAACAGAATAATATGGGGAATGAGGTGGGAAAGTTTGTAGACCTTTGGGGATTTTAGTGTCTAGACTTTTTAAAGTATTAGAAAAAAATAGAGCATTTTCTAGAAATGCCTACACCATTCGAATTTTGACAATTGAAATTGCCAGTCATAAAAATTTGTTAGACAGAAGTCCATTTACACAGAAGCTGTCTGTGTTATTTCTGTTAGAGCACTTTACCTTTTTAAGAAAATACTCAGTAAATGCAAATCTGATCACATTGGATTTTATATTATTTTATAAAACTTGATTTTTTTTTTTTTGCTTTATTTCACCAGCTGTAGAAGCTAGACCATAATAGAATGTTTCAGTTAAGCAAATTTAATTGAAATAAATTCATGTGTTATTCATAACTATAGTGCAGATTATTTTGTTGTACACTTCTCTTTAAATGTGATAGTGTCCTCGTAAAGTTAATATAGAGATTTAGTAGCCAAAATGAATATTAATATTAATAATACTGTTTATGCCTCGCCGCCTTAAGGAACATAAACCAAAAATAATGATTCCATCCAGCAAACTTCTCTCTGGTAAAATATTGGGTCAGATTCAACCTTAAACACATTGCAAATAGCTTTAATTGATTGCTTTAGTTTTTTGTTTAGTTAGAATAGCTGGCATCTGTACCACCACTTTGTCTTAAACTATTACTTACACATATCACTATTCCAGGAAGGGCTTGTTTAATTTAAATCACAGGTAAAGTAACTCTTTTTCAGGGGTAACTGAAACAATGCTTTCTAGGCTATCCCACATCTGTTACATACTTTTTAAAGCATTGTGTCAGAAGATGCTTATCTGAAATAAATGTGATACAATTTCATTTTGAATTTTAACTAAAAGAAATATTGATTTGTAAACTTCCTTCCACCACTCATCTTGTTTATCGCTTTGTTGTACTGTGGTGAATTGCATGTTGCTGTTATGTTGGAACCTATGCCTTCCTAAATAGTAACAGAGTCATCCATGGTGGAAAAGGTTCTGTGGAGCTTCCAGATTAAGACAGACTAGGTAGAAGGACCTGTAAATCTACTTCTAAAAATATTGACAAGTATAAGTCAAGCTGCTAACCTCAAGGTCAGCAGTTTGAAACTATCAGCTGTTCCTCAGGAGAAAGTTGAGACTTTCTGCTCCAGTAATACAGCCTTGGAAACCCTATACAGGGTTGC